GATGTACAAAAAGCTACTCCAAGCGGCGCGGCGCTACGCGCAGCGTTTTTTTATTCACACGCAAAAAACGCGACAGGGTGGTAACATATGCCCCCCCCCCCCCCCACTGGGGCGAAGGTTAGGTTCGAAGCTGCAATAGGAGATCGTATTGACCCAGCCTGTATCCAACCTGTACTCCGACCTTGGAGTCAGAGTCGGTAAGATTTTGGCGAAACCGACTCCAACTCCGTGTAGAACTGTCAACTCCGACCGACTCCGAGTCCGACTCCGACTCCGCAGCCCTGGATTTAAAAGGGGCGCTACCTGCGACTAGGAGCATCTGAAAATTCTTGCATGCCTTTTACATTTTAAGAGCGAGACCGAGTGGCATTTAGCCTCGTAAAAGAATTGCGGTGACCAACTGACCACATGGCGCTCTAATCTGTTAATGGAGAGATATCGTCACATAATGGGTCGTTTAGGTCGCTGATCGATTCTGACCGTTTAAAGGACTGTTATCGGGCAGCCGATCATTTCTGAAGTGAGGCCAATCGTAGCTGTGTATTAGCTGCACGCCGTTCATGTTAGGGTCTGCAATCGAGGAGAAATCGACGCTAGAATGGGATAGTAGGTAGGGTCTAATGCAAGCTAAGTTTAAATACCATGTGAGAGGTGGACTATGTTGCTATTTTATTCTTCACCCGCGCTGAATCAGGAATCAACACTAACGGAAGAGCGTTGGGATCGTTTTTATGTTTTATTGTTCCCTTTGCTCGGATCTTAACCCTCACCGGCACAGAGGGGGGGGGGGGGTAATGCAACCCCCTTAAGGTTTTTCGCGAATAACTCGCGTAAAAAGCGGCCGATCGCGGCGAAACTTTCAGTACCCTCGCATCGATCAATTTTACACCTACCCTGAAAATGTCATGACCCTGATCCAAATGAACTTTGACCTGTGACCTCTTTTCCGAGACCATGTTTGGCCGGAATCGCGATTCGGCGTATGTTTGCTCGCGTTAGCCGCGCGTTTGCAAGCTTTTCGTGGTTCCAAACGTTCAAACATGTGATTTGATGTTGCTCCCATACATTAGGGTGGGTGTCAAGGTCACCTGAAGGTCAGGTCAGGTCATTGACCTTTGGTGACCTCGGGTGACCTCGGCTCACTTTTTCGAGTTTTACCTGTTTCTAGGCTAGTTTTTGGAGCTGAATTCGAATTTAGCAACCATTTGAACATTTACGAAGTAGTTTTGGTGCCTTTGTAACATGTTACGAAATTGTCAGAGTCGGTTGACACGTATTACGAATAGGTACCTACCCGTCAAAACCCCTACCGGTTGACCTGACCTGACCTGACCCGACCTGGTCTAAATACTTAAAACCATCATCTCTGATCAAAACTAACACGATATTCGTGATCAGCACCCCGGAAAATCACACAGCAGCCACACTTTACGACTTTCTAACAGGTCCCGATTTTCCCGGTTTTCGGGTCATTGACCTGACCTGGAAGGTCAACCGATGACCTAGGACCTTAAAATTGGGTATCATCGGCTTCCTCTCGTGACGGGCAACACGTTCCTTTTTTTCCGCGAAGCTCTAGCTCGATCAGGGGCCAAACGCGAGGGGGGGTCGTACCACCACCCCCCTTGTGCCGTCGAAGGACGCAAAATGGCCTGTGCCGGCGAGGGTTAAATCCTGTACGCATCTGGTAGGTATGGTCTCTGAGTGTATGATCCTTCATCCTGGGGTATCAAATGCCCTGTGATTCGACCACTATCACCAGGCACGTACCCAGGATTTCGCCCAGGAGGGGGCCACCTGCTTTCGAAGCCCCCCCAGGTCACCCGGGGGCCCCCGGGACTCGGGAGTCATGCAGAACCTTTCGATGGTGGGGGGGGGGGGGGGCATAGTGGGTCCGGTCTCTCCTGCAGACGTAGGTGAGAAAACGCCACGTGTGTGGAAAAACGCAATTCAGTTCTTTACAACCTAATGTAGCATTTGGTTGTGATTTCTCGCGTTCAACTTCATCAAAGTCAATTAAAACGGTCTCTGTAACCTATCACGCTTACTCACACAAAACACGTTGAAGAAGACACTTAACCGGCGCCGGGCCGGGGGTAGGGTTGAACACCCCCTTGCGGTTTTTCGCAGGTAAGCCAGGTATCCGTTTTTGCCACACCTGTTCATACATCTTTTCCGCAAATGTGTAAATTTCAGACCCAGGTCTCTCAAGGTCAGCAGGTCACCAGGTCACGTCAAGTGACCTCACATCAGAAGAAGTTAGAATCCTCGTCATAGCTACACCAACTGAACGATCGCCTCGAAACTTTCAGCGATTGATAAGAGTAACAATATATACAAAATGTTTATCTCTGAATTAATTTTGATATCGGTGACCTAAAGTCAGGTCAATTTTGCGACCTCTCCATTAGGTGGCACCCACCTACAGGGTGGAAAGTAATTACGCGAACATGTATTTTCTTACAATTTCGCCCGTCAGTGGAGATTTTGTATGAGCGCGGGCTGTCATGGAATATGATTGGTCGTGTTTGTTGTCGCCTCATCTACCAAAAGTGACCTTACTTTGAAAAATGACTTGGAAGGTCTACAACACGTCTCGACTTCGAATGGTGCAGACGCCATACGTTGCACAAGACCACAATGTGCAAAGATCGCAATTTGGTGTTGCCAGGGAAAGCGTTTGTGATTATTTTGGCTGGATTGGTGCGGAAGGGACTCGGAACGGTCTCGGCACCAGCATTACTCAATTACACGTTTGGCTGAAGCATAATACAACTTAAGAGGACTTAAAAAGCAAAGCCGTTGGCGGCAGTAAAACCTCGGCGAATTCAGGCGCCGAATGGGTGGTCACCATTTCCGCGACCAAACGAAACAGTCGATCCGAAAACAAGCGAAATGGTTTACTATTGCCGGGTACCCGATCTAAGATATCACGATTCATACATATATCCGTGAAAATTCGAAAATCAAGCCGTACAAACAATCGAGATGGCCAAAATTCATGAATTAACAGCAGGATTGTCTATTTAAGTTTTCTTAAGACCGGCAAACCTGAACAGAGGAGGACAGGCAGCTGGCTTTGTGGTTGGGTGAGACATCTTCGAAGCTATTTCATCCGTCAAACCTGCAGAACAACGCGTTGGGGGCTGCTGATGCGTCCGACGTCCCGCCCGTCCCAACCTTCAAACATCCGGCAAAGGAACACACATCAGCGTGTTATGAGCGCCCGGATGGTGTCAGAATTGCATGTAGTGACCAAAAAGGCAACCAAAAATAAAGTATACAACTAGTGGAACATCCTTCCAGACGAGTCTCTTTATCTAATCCACCAATGCACCAAAAGGGGCAAAATGATTGAGCGCACTTTTGTGCCCGACGCAAAGAAACTCTTCTTCATGATTGATTAAGTCCTTCCTCTCACGGCCAAAAAGACGCAAGACTGGTGCTTTGAGAACCTGTTCTTCTTCTGGGCATATAATGGTCAATCTGGGAATAGCCCAGACCTCAATTTGATCAAAAATATCCAGGCGACTCTTCAGGAGAGCGTCTAAGAGCTGCTAGTAGCCACCAACATCGATTGCCTCACCAGACAGCTCCAGGAGGCGTGGACTAAGCTTTGGCCAACAGTGCTTGACATGCTCATGTCAATTATGCCTGAACGCCTTTGTCAGTGTATCGCACATAAATAGGAATATATGAAAGGATGAAATTTTCATGCCACCGCCGCTTTTTCCATTGCTATAAGACGAAAAAGTATGTTCGCGTAATTACTTTCCACCCTGTATGGTAAGTCAATGGAAGAAAATTGAAAGGCGCCTTTTTTGGACGAACGTCATTCCAAGCACTCTCAAACATCGGCTTACAGGTAAGCCTGACCAGGTGAACCAAAAAATGGTACCCGTGACGGACCTCTCCTTACGTCCCTGAGGTCATATCAGGTCCCGAACAGTTTTTTGACCGATAACTTTTGATAAAGACCTGCTAGAGCGATGGAAAGACGATGTTCAGCTCGACGACACGGATCGATTGATAGTAACATGACTTTTTTCCGGTCAGGTCATGACCTTGACCTGCGTTTAGATTTTCGAAATGACCTTTCAAGGTTAAATTATAATTTGTTCGACGCGTCTCGACAAGAATAACATGATGATGGCAAAATAAAAATTGCCACGTTCTTGAGTCAGCAAAAGTTATTACGGAAAAAAACGTTTTTCATAAAAATGGTTTTTGCCCTCTGGGAGCAAAACCGTTGACCTGAGGTCAAATCTGAGGACATGACGGCTAAAGAGCGTTGAAAGAGATATTGAATCGAATGCGCTTTACCCCGGCGCTGTAGCTCTATTGGTTCCCGAGTAATGCGCCGGGTTTTCGAAAATTGTTGAAATATGCAAAATTTGACCTCTGATGACCTCTGGCGACCAGGGCGACCTGACCTTTGACCAGCTGACCTTAAAAAACTTAAGTGTTTTCTATTTTTGAAACTCTTTCGGATGCTGCTTACCGCGTGTCGCTACGTGGCCCAGGAGCCAAGTTAGACGGGGGGGGGGGGGGTGTTCAGACACCCCCGGGCCCGGCACGGCTGGCGTCGGGTACCGGCCCGACGCGGGTTAACCAGTGTTGCGGTCTACAGGTGCTCCCCTCCCCTCCGCTCTCCTACCCCCTCCCCCTCACTGCTCCCCGAGGCCCGAGCGCCGGGTACACTTGGCGGTGGGACGTGGCCGTGGGTGCTCTCTGCCCCCCCCCCCCCCCAGCTCCCCGGGTGGTGGGTGCATTTGGCGGTGGGTGCTCTCCCGTCTCCGGCCCCCTCTCTCAGCTCCCCGGGCGGTGGGTGCATTTGGCGGGCAGCCTCGCGGTTCGTCGACCGCTAACAAGCCAATTACCTCCCCGCCCGTCGGACTGCCCTCTCCGGCGCTGATTGGCCGGTCGGCCGCGGTGGGCGGGGCCTCGGCGCTGACGCGGGGCGGCCTCTAATAGGCCGACGTATGGGCGCCGTGCTCGGCTCAGCCAGATTGGCGCCGGGGTTCGGGCGGCGGGTCGGTGGGCCAAGTGGTAATTAGGGCCGCGCTAGGTGATCCAGCCGCTGCGGTCAGTGTGTGTGCGGCGGTCCGCGGCGCGGCGCGGCGCGGTGTCGGAGATGAGTGTACTGCACCCGGAGAGGAACAGGATGGGCGTGCCTCCGGGGACACTGCTGGGTCACGGGATGGCGGCCGGCGGCGGGCACCACCAGCGCTCCCCGTTCGGCATACAGGAGCTGCTGGGACTGCACCAGGAGCCGCGGACCGGGCTGCCGCCGCCGCCGCCGCCGCCTCCGCCGCCACCACCGCCTCCGTCACATACACCGCCCTACAGCCGGGCGCCACTCTTCGCGCAGGTCAGTCACTCTCTGTCATATGTTTTAACTTTTACATTTGTCAAAGCACATCTGCTTCTGCAATCATTTTCGATGCTATGTAAGACATTCCGGCATAGGCAGTGGACACACAAAGCAGTTTGGCTGTATAATTGGATGGCATGGCTAAGTGACTTTAAGAGACGGTCAAAGTAAATCAAAGTATATAGTCTTCGAAGTTCTAGGAAGGTGAACCTGCATTAGAGTATGAAAAATCATCGGTTAACCGATGGGGGCACTTGCGGTATTGTATTTGCATCTACGGAGAGACCGAGCTTCGCCGAAGTTGTGTGGCTTCCCTTGCAAAGAAGGCGAATAGGTATAAAACAAAAGTTCATCCAGCTAGCCTGCCTTACCTATCAGTTAAAGCAGCATAGGTATAAGTAGGCGAAGTTTGAGAAGTTTTCGGAGGTCAGGAAGCCTTATGGGAGAGCATGCCTCTTACACCCCCCCCCCCCTCACCCCAGCAGCGACCAGCACCATCACGGACCCACCGATGCCTGAACCGTCCATTGTTATGTTCCAATATAATTACCTACGGGGAAGGGAAAGTGGAGTAAATTGGTCGTTTTTTTTTTAAACAATATAGATATCTCAAAACTCACCACTTGTTTCTGCATCTAATCAACGCTAGCTTTTCTGCATTCATTTTTCTATCCGCGGGTCAGAAAGCCTATAAGGACTAAGATTATAGATCAACCATCAATGTAAACATTTTGACGTTCAACAAAGGTCTGCAAGGTGGCCAAGTGCTTGGCCGGTGGGGTATGAGGGCTATCGGGCCGGTGTCAATTAGAGGCCGAAAACATACATATAAGTTGCGAAACTTCGGTGTCATCAACGGATAATTTTCTACGCACATTTCTCAGCTTAGATCGATGTTGGATTTCGATTCGAAAGACTGACTAATTTCTGGTCTGCGGAGTTTGTGTCACACTTTGAGAACTTGAGAACGTAATTATTTTAAACGTTCTGCTGACCTTTGAATTATAACTAACTTTTGCATTTGTTTATGTTTTAACTTTTATCATTAGCTTCACGACGCTCTTCGAAATGGAAAAGTTACCCTAAAAGTAAACAGCTTATACTCGTATGTCAATTGAAATAAAATAGTGATAAGCCGATCAAATTTACCTAACGCATTTTTGCATTGTTCCGACGTCATGAACCAATTGCTGCCATCAAAAATGGCAATTCAAATAAATTTAAACCATTATCACGATTTGTAGCCTTTTCATCGTTTTCCCGTTTCGTGGCCATGGACTTTTCCTTTAGGACAGGTGACCAGAACCCGGCAGCTAGTCTGCGCAGATTCTGATGGCTTAGCCTGCACTCCCTTGAAGGTAGACTGTGCCGTAATACCATCTATGTAGATCGACATCACCCTTTTAGAGACACGATTTCTATAGTAACGATCCTGAAAGCACTAGCCAATTAACCAGCTAGGTATGTACCGGCCAAATAGCCCCGCATCGACATAATAAAAGGATAAAATTGCTAAGAGTTAAAAAGAAAATGAATTGTTCTTCCAGATACCGAACCCACCAACGCATGGTACGATGTCGAATTTTGCTAACAACTAAGGTTAGGTCATGCAATACAACGTTTCCAACGACAGTAAAAGTGCTCGTTTTTCGTCCAAATTCAAATTTCACTGGCTTTGAAGAAGAATTACGGGAGACAGAATTTTGATACCTTCCTGCACAGTGACACTAGAGATGTCAACTGCTTAAAAGGCTATCTAATCATTTCGTCAATTATCTTACAGGTGGGGCGGCCAATTTACCTCTCCGGATAAATTGTCTCATTATTACCTACCAGAGAGCGCAAAGAGCGAACCAAGTCTTTCCAACAAAACGGTTTTTTAACGAGGGCCTGTCCCAGGCGGGTTTGACCCGCCCTGTAACATTTTAAGGGGTTTGTGTCTTGACAACCGTACAACCGTTTGACAAACAACTTCTTTGTTTAATAAGTTTCGCTTTCGTCCCCTTTGCAATTTGATATTGAATGTCTACTACCTGCCATAATTATGAGTGCTAAACTAAGAGTGTCAAGATTCAGTAGATCTAATATGAGAAAGCGGTTATTTGAGGTTTATTATAATTAGTAGGTACTAGGGTTACCCGCGTGCTCCGCAACGCGAAGAAGAGTTATTTTAGACCCGTGGGTATTGGGTTGGTCTGTGTCGATTTGGTTGGTAGATATCCATTTCGTTCGACTGCTTTTTTGACGGCCAAGCATTTTGTAAGAAAACAAAAAGATACATCGCATCGAGGTGCCCGTGTCGTATTATCATGCGTTCTACTTTAGAATGATTCGAAAACTGGCGTGAAGTCTTTTGAGGGCCATCGATGAATTTCGCTAAAAATGACAATGTAATGGTTTGGAACATTTACATTTTTAAGGATACTGTTGCTCATCATGCAAAAATGAAGACTGAACCTTGGACAGAATTGAATGCTCTTTCCAACGGTGTCATTTTTATTTGCCAGATGTATCAGATCATGGAGCAAAACCATTTTGAGGAACAAAGTGCCCGGCAGGGGCGCACCCAGGATTTTCCAGGGGAGGGGGCCCGGGCTCAAAGGGGCCTCCGTGTTCCGCTTGCCAGGGGGCCTTTTCTCTATCGAGGGGGCCTCCAAATGGCTTACTTTTTGACGGCCTCTGTATGTTTGGTGACGTTCTTAGCGTTATTAGTAAAGCTTAACCCTCACCCTGGCAGGGGGGTCGATGCGACCCCCCCCCCTAAGGTTTTTCAAAGATAGCGTAAAATTGGCGGCGCGCAACGCCGCTAAATTTGGCACAACCTATGGGGCAACCTTTTTTCATGTGATCTGCAAATTTCAGGTCCGGTCGACCTTGGGTCAGGCCACCATGTCAGAAAAACGGGTACAAGGTTATGGTCAAATTTAATTTTTTATGTACCTGTCCAACGCACAGTTTTGGACTGATTTCCTTCAAACTTTCAGGATGTGCTAAGTTCACCGAGCTGTATAATATGTAGTTCGTTTTTTATGTCACTGACCTGAGGTCAGTTAGGGGTCATTACGTCGTAATGTTAAGCCTATGGGAAAATATTCAAATAACTCCTATTCGGAAAATATAGAGATGTCCGCTTCGTTGTATCCCTTTTGTTCTTTGATACCACAGTACTTAACATAATGTCACTCGGTGTTTCTTTGTTTGGTGTACTTATCTAAGGTTCAGGTCAAATGAGGTCAACTCAGGTCAAATGACGTTTGTGCCGATAACTTGTCACATAATAGAACAGGTTTCAAAATGGTATCATTCTGTTCCTCTTGAACAGCTGAGTCGAATGATATGCAACATTAAGCATTTCAACCATTCCTAAGACTTAAGTTTTACTTAAGTTGTGCACTTAAGTACACTTTAATACCTACACTTTTAAGTACACTTAAGCAAACAAAAAAAGTATATCATTCGACACGCCTTGACGTGCTGAGTTCACTGGTGCTTTTGTTTTGCTCTATCTTAACCCGCGCCGGGCCGGGGGGTGTTTGAACACACCCCCCCCCCCGGCGGCTTTTCGCAGCTCCGCGCCGCCGTTTTTAACACACCTGTTCGTGCATCTTTTCCGCACATGCTGTGAAAATTTCAGACCCAGGTCTCTCAAGGTCAGGTCAGAAACAAATTAGAATGTTCGTCATGGCTACACCGACCGCACGATTGCCTTGAAACTTTCAGCGATTGATGAGAGTAACAGTGTATCTCGTGTATCCTATAAAAGCGTGTATAAAAACCTATTAAACGTGTATCTCGGAATTTCGATATCGGTGACCTAAGGTCAGGTCAATTTTGCGGCCTCTCTATTATAATTCAATGGGAGAAAATTGAAAGGCGTCTGTTTTGCACGAACGCCATTCTAGACACTCTCAAACATCGGGATGTAGGTAAAATGGACACACTGAACCCGAAAATTGCACCTGTGACCCGGAGTGTGACCCCTCGTTCTGAGATGTCCCCGAGGTCATCTCAGGTCACGAATAGTATCTAACAGTTTTTTGCTAATAACTTCTGATAGAGGCATGATAGAGCGATGAAAACGCCTTAGATGTGTTCGGCTCGACGATGCGGATCGACTGATATGCAACATGACCTTTTCCGGTCAGGTCCTGAGGTCAAATTTTTAAGTTGACTTTTCAAGGTCAACTTATAGTTCATTCGACGCGTTTTGACAAGAGGAACACGATTCTGGCAAAAGTAATGTCGTGGCTTTTTTGAGTCAGAAGTTATTGCCGAAAAACACTGTTCGTAAAAAACGGCTATTTTTGGAGTTTTTGCCCTCTGGAGGCTAAACCGTTGACCTGAGGTCAAATCTGAGGACATATTGGCGAAAGAGCGTCAAAAGAGCTATCGAATGCGCTTTTCCGCGGCGCTGTAGCTCTATCGGTTCCCGAGTTAGCCGTTGGCAGTTTCCAAAATGTTGAAATAGCCAACATTTTACCTTTGGTGACCTCTGGTAGCCTGACCTTTGACCTGACCCAAAAAATGACTGAAGTGTTTTCGTACTTATTTTGGACGCTCTTTTGAATGCCGCTTACCGCGTGTCGCTACGTGACCCAGGAGCCGAGTTAGAAGGGGGGTTTTCAGACACCCCCCCGGCCCGGCGCGGAAGTCGCGGAGCACCTGCCCGGCGCGGGTTAATTAAATCAAAAGTTATCAGCGAAAACTTTTGACCTGTTTTAGCAAATTTTTTACAATTATACCTCCCAAAAACCCCTAAATATTGACCTAGAGCAACCAAATTTGCACAGGGACGAGGATTTTAAGAGGGCCACCTACCTACCAAATTTGGTATTTCTAGGTGCCATAGGATCCAATCGCGAGGGGGGTCGCATCGACCCCCCCCCCCTCTGCCAGGCCGCGTTATGAAAAATGCCCTGCCAGGGCGAGGCGCTGCCCGGATAGGACCTCTTGTGAAGAGGGGCCTCCTATCCAGAGATGGCCTCTTTCCCAGAGAC